ACTCACCGTGACAATGTAGAGTCGATACGATTAATAAATAATTTTAAAAATTTTAAAAATCAATAAAAGAGAATAAGATATAATTCGTGTATATCCTAGTTATACTCGATTCATATATAAAATAAATTTGATATAATATAATTTGTTATACACGTATTAATAAACGAATTAGGTATGAGTAGAGTTCTTTTTATCCCAACTTGATATGAACTAATTTCACCCCCCATGATTGACAAACTTAATATTGACTTGAGCATTCTAATTTACAATATAAAAAATAAGATAAATTTCAATAAATTTATTCAACAGTCTCAAATAAACTCATCAAACGATCACCAACATCCCTCACATAACTATTCACATTGTACTGTGTCTTTAGGTACAGATTATCCTTAATCCTATGACAAAATGCTCGTCAATAATAATTCAATTTTTAAATCAATAAGTTCATTTTTTTTTCAATAAATTTTATTTTTCCAACTACGGAGAAGGAAGACAACCAAAGAGATGGATGATTCCTTTATGTTAGTATTTTGTACCAGCGAGACTACATAAATATAAATAGTGTTAACTTAGTATTTGAATAAGAGAGGGAAAAATTAAATGAACAAAATCTCTAATTTTCCCAAATATAATTGATTAGTTTGTATTCAAGTTAACAATGAATCATATCGTATGCATTGTATAAGGTAATTCGTGCCAAAATTAATTCAACCTGTGACACAGTGGTTAAATATTCTAACAGGTCAATCAAATTACAGCTAAAATTATGTCATAATTGTACCTCCGTATGTTGTAAGTACACGTCCAAATTGCGACTTGTATTAATAATTAGTGTATGACATCTGATTTTATTGTGTATGAACATTTATTAAGTAATATAGAAATTCAATGTAATTATGCTCCGAATATATTAAAACTATGCTTATACCTGTGCCAATTTCATTTTGAATTGGTGATTGGTATTAAAATGTATCAATCCTAATTCCACTACGACAAGGGTGAATATATGTTTCTCCTCTATACTTTTTTTCTCGTTATTTATTACTTTTTTAGTTATGAAATGAATTAAACATTTGGGTTTATGATGCTTGGCTCCTAAATAATTTTGAAATATTAGCTTTTTTCCTTCAAAAGTTAGCATCTCAATACTATGAATAAAATAACAATATAAACCCCAACAGTTAGGTGACTTTTGCATTTTCGCCCATAAAAAAAACGTCACAATTAATTGTACTCCTTAAATTGTTTATTANTCTCGTTATTTATTACTTTTTTAGTTATGAAATGAATTAAACATTTGGGTTTATGATGCTTGGCTCCTAAATAATTTTGAAATATTAGCTTTTTTCCTTCAAAAGTTAGCATCTCAATACTATGAATAAAATAACAATATAAACCCCAACAGTTAGGTGACTTTTGCATTTTCGCCCATAAAAAAAACGTCACAATTAATTGTACTCCTTAAATTGTTTATTAATTTAACTATTTCCATAAAACAAAATAATTAGGTTATACATCATTCACCCTATACACAATGCAAGAATGGTGAAAGAACCAAATGGAATGTGACTATTTGGCAAGTTTAGGTGATAGATGATTGATTTGGCGATGAGAAATTAAAATTTTTGTGACTATTCATGCGGTTTTGGGAGTCGAGATAAAGAGGTAATTAAGATAGTGTGCATATTTTTGGGAGGGAAAAGAAGGGTAGAATGGCCATTTTGTGGGTTAGGTGTGTGTTTTTTTTGGGTGTGATAAGCATTTAGGAAACAAGATAAAAATAGCAAATAGATGAGTGGGATGGCATCTTCTTCTAGGACCACACGAGAATCAAACTTGAAAATCGAATTTCTTGTTTTGGAAAAATATGCAATACTGATTTGATAAAAAAAAATTACAATTTATTCAGGTCAAATTGTAAGTTCATAAAATTAACATTATTTATTNTTCTTGTTTTGGAAAAATATGCAATACTGATTTGATAAAAAAAAATTACAATTTATTCAGGTCAAATTGTAAGTTCATAAAATTAACATTATTTATTAGTGAGGTTTGTGTATATTGCTTACCGAAAAACAGAGGTTCTAAATATTGGATTGATACTAAAAAATTAAGATCATTCATATGAATTTGTTATCAATCTATTCCGGTCTCATTAAATCGACACTTGACATGTTTGAATCACAACTTAAAATTATTGACTCATAACTTCAAGTTGTGCTGACTTGATCCAAGTTATGATCCCAAACAACATTTTTAATAAGGGACCCTCCAAAACTTAATATATGAGTAATACAGTTATTGTTACAAAAATGGAATTCGAAAAATAAAGTGAATGGTAGGGTGAGGTGTGGACTAAAATACTNAGTTATTGTTACAAAAATGGAATTCGAAAAATAAAGTGAATGGTAGGGTGAGGTGTGGACTAAAATACTATCTTGAGATAATTTGCATTTTTTATGAAAGAAACACAACGCAAAAAGTAATAACACGTCATTCTTAAAATACAACAACCTAATCTATTAACTGTCATTTCACTCAATCTGCGCAATCGAATGAAGCAAAAGGTCTCACCGCACGTGAGAGTCACAATGTCTCACTTTACCTCAAATGCTACATAACACTAACATACATATATATATATATATATATATATGTGTGTGTGTGTGTGTGTGTGTGTGTGTGTGTGTATATTCAAGCATTTTTAAAAATTTAGTCGATGTGGGATTAAATTCCCTCATTAAAAAACACTATTTTGTTTAAAATATTCTAACAGTTATAATTAAACCAAATGCAAATTCTTACTTTTTGAGATGAAGATTCACTAATTAAACTTCTATTTTCAAGTTTTGCCATTTTGATGGTTGAATTAAGTTATTTAGGGGATTTTCATTTGGTTAGATGATGAATGATAATGGTTTTGGATTAAATTTTATGGTATTTAGTTATACGCTCATGCTTTGTTGGTTAATAATTAGTTCATATTTATTTGTAGAGATTGGGGTGTGACACCAATGGAATTGGGAGGGGTTTAAAGTTTCAACTTTGGATAAAGAGGCTATGATTTTTTATTTTTTTTTGGAATTGAAATAAGGTAGTTTAGCAGAACCTCGTATAATGCATTGGGAATAATGATATAACACACACATATAAAGTGTATTCACAAATACTGTGATAACAAGGGAAATAAAGTTCTTGAAAATGTTAGTTTGCAAGTATATTTATTTTGTATACTAAATGACATATTTCAATTGTTATGAGCAATCATGCATTAGAAATTATAAATTGTAATTGTTGTTTTGATTGTCTTTAAGGGTGTTCAAATTTCTGATTAGTTGTAATTTTCTATCCTACTCGACCCTACTCTACCCTATTGAATGACTAGCTGAAAAAATCAGGTAAGAATATGGAAGAGTTTTTAGTCTTCCGATTAAATCAGGTAAGAATACAAAATACCCATTAATTTTCGTATTCCTACCCTACCCTACCCTACTCTACTATACCCGCATTAATTTATATAATATATATATAAACTAAAAACCCTAATTCCCTAACCCTATCATCTGATCTGAGCGCCTCAGCCTCGCCAGTCGCCTTCATCGCCTCCAGTCGTTTCTCTCTCCTCCAGTCGCCTCTCTTGCCTCTAGTCGTAGTTGCCTTTCTCGTCTCTAGTCGTCAGTCGCCTCCATCGCCTCCAATCTCCATCTCACTATTCACCTCTCTCGCCTTTCTTGCATCTTTGAGTCCCAGCCTCTCAGATATTCTATATTTGTCTCTCTCTATCTCTGTCTTAATTGATTTATGAAGTCTACCCACATGTCAAACTAACCCCAGAAATTCTCGTCTTGGATGTCGAAGAGAATTTGATTTACCAGAGTGAAACCTACANGTAGTTTAGCAGAACCTCGTATAATGCATTGGGAATAATGATATAACACACACATATAAAGTGTATTCACAAATACTGTGATAACAAGGGAAATAAAGTTCTTGAAAATGTTAGTTTGCAAGTATATTTATTTTGTATACTAAATGACATATTTCAATTGTTATGAGCAATCATGCATTAGAAATTATAAATTGTAATTGTTGTTTTGATTGTCTTTAAGGGTGTTCAAATTTCTGATTAGTTGTAATTTTCTATCCTACTCGACCCTACTCTACCCTATTGAATGACTAGCTGAAAAAATCAGGTAAGAATATGGAAGAGTTTTTAGTCTTCCGATTAAATCAGGTAAGAATACAAAATACCCATTAATTTTCGTATTCCTACCCTACCCTACCCTACTCTACTATACCCGCATTAATTTATATAATATATATATAAACTAAAAACCCTAATTCCCTAACCCTATCATCTGATCTGAGCGCCTCAGCCTCGCCAGTCGCCTTCATCGCCTCCAGTCGTTTCTCTCTCCTCCAGTCGCCTCTCTTGCCTCTAGTCGTAGTTGCCTTTCTCGTCTCTAGTCGTCAGTCGCCTCCATCGCCTCCAATCTCCATCTCACTATTCACCTCTCTCGCCTTTCTTGCATCTTTGAGTCCCAGCCTCTCAGATATTCTATATTTGTCTCTCTCTATCTCTGTCTTAATTGATTTATGAAGTCTACCCACATGTCAAACTAACCCCAGAAATTCTCGTCTTGGATGTCGAAGAGAATTTGATTTACCAGAGTGAAACCTACAAGCAAGAAGTGGCCGATCGACTTTTGAAGCTGCTGATGATAGCTAACGTCAATAAAATCCCGTTGAATATCATTGATAGCCTAGAATTGGATATGAGTTTGCCCCAAGATTATATGAAAAGTATAGTTCCTAAGTTCCCAGATTATTTTCAAGTTGTTAAAGGAAATGAATCGATATTGGAGCTGGTTTGTTGGACCAATACAAAAATTAAATTTTTCTGTTTTTCTTCTTTCATGATTTCTTTAAGAATTTTTTCCATCTTGTTTCTCCATTTGCAGTCACCTGTTTTTATCTCCACCTATTTTTATCTCCAAATGGGTAATCATGGCTTATGCTTTTGTGTGAATAATTTGGTGGAGTAGCACTTTGAGACTAGTATAATTTGCTTCATTAACATCCTTATGTTAGAATCTAATTTTTTTTTTGTTTTTTTTCACAGATCCTTTCCTTATGGATGATATTACTCCACAATCATCTGCTCAAGATGATTCTAACAGTAACGTCCAAGTTACTGATGACATTCAAGGTGAGGGACAATATACAAGAAAACGGTCTAGAGTTTGGGAGCATTTTGAAAAGATTGAAGCTGCAGATAAAGCTAAATGTCAGCATTGTAGTAAGATTTACAATTATCATCTAAGAAAAATAGATACTTCATCTTTACTTTATCATTTAGATAGTTGTAAATCCTATTTGGCGAGTGTGAATAAGAAGGACAATACCCAATTAAAGTTAATTTGTGCATTCAAAAAAGATTAAGATGTTGTTAGTAGTAACCTTAGTATTGCTAAATACAATGAAAAAAAAAAATAGGGAAGCAATTGCTACAATGATTATAGTGGATGAATTGTCATTTCGATTTGTTGAAGGAGAAAGATTTAAAGATTTGATGAGGATTGTTGAACCTAGATTTCGTATACCTTTTCATACCATTGTGATGAGGGATTGTGTGTAATTATATATAATAGAGAAAGAAAAATTGAAGCATATGTTTGTCTCATCTAGTTAAAGGGTATGTCTTACTACTGATACATGAACCTCTATTCAAAATTTAACTTATATGTCAATAACTGCGCATTTCATTGATAAAGATTGGAAGTTACACAAACGAATAATCAATTTTCTAAAATTCAAAAAATCATAAGGGTGTGACAATTGGAAGGAAAATTGAAGCATGCATGCTTAGGTGGAGGATAGATAGCATATTTANTCTAAAATTCAAAAAATCATAAGGGTGTGACAATTGGAAGGAAAATTGAAGCATGCATGCTTAGGTGGAGGATAGATAGCATATTTACTGTTACAATGGATAATGTTACTTCTAATGATGGTGCTCTTGATTATTTAAAGAGACAAACTAAGGATGGGAAGAGCACTATCGTAGAAAATAAATCTATGCATGTTAGGTGTTGTGCACACATTTTGAATCTAATTGTAATGGAGGGTTTAAGGAAGTAAACATATCAATTTTGAAGATGCAAAATGTTGTTAAATATGTAAAGTCTTCTCATTCAAGGCTTAACAAGTTTAGGTCATGTGTTGAGAGACAAATAATTGGTGAAGTCTTCTTTGCCTTGATGTTCTAACAAGATGGAACTCTACATATTTGATGCTTAAAGTTGTTGAACAGTACCAAGGTAAATTTGATTTGTTGCTAGAAGATGATGACTAATTTGTAAGTCAATTGAGTGAGGGGGTAGTTTAGGGCCACCTACATTTGATGATTGGGACTTTGTTCATGTGTTTATGAAGTTTTTGAAACTTTCTATGAAGTCACTTTGTGCATTTCTGGATCATTGTATATCACATCTAACTTATTTTTTCAATAACTTTTTACTGTGTATAATCATTTGCAAGGTTGTTGTGAATATGATGGCTATTTTTTGAGTAACATGACTATGAGAATGAAAAGCAAGTATGATACGTATTGGGGTCAGTTAGAAAATATTAATTTGATGTTTTTTATTGCTATTATCCTTGACTCACACTATAAATTGGATATTTTAAAATTTTGGCTCAATGACAATTATAAGGCTGAGGATGAAGTAGTTAAGATTCAACTAATTGAAAAGATCAAAAGGATCATTGATTGGTTATGCTAATAGTACACTAGATTTAGTGTGGGGTGTGGAGTGGGGGGTTCAAGTGTTGATTATGAGAAAAATGTGTCTTCCGCTGATATGTCTGCTCAAAATCAAGTACATACAAATTTCATGAATAGATACCACAAGTATAGAGCTGAGGGAGGTAATGTAGACAACAAATCAGAGTTGGATCGATATTTGATGGAGGATGTTGAATTTGCTAGTGTCAATTTTGATATTTTGAATTGGTGGAAGGTTAATTTTTCTAAATTCCCGATCCTTAACAAAATAGCTCGTGATGTGTTAGCTATTCTCATTTTTACGGTGGCATCCGAATCGACTTTTAGCACTGGGGGTCGTATTTTAGATCATTTTCGAAGTTGCTTGTCACCCAAAACAATTGAGGGTCTCATATGGGCACAAAATTGGCCTCGATCGTCATCCATTGCTTATGATTTTGAAGATGTTTTGGAGGATTCAGAAAGCTATAAACTAAATTCAGGTTTTTATACTTTTATTGTTACTTTTTTATTATTTGTTGATGAGTTTTTTGTATATAATTTTTTCTTTACTCTTTTTTATCTCAAAAATAATTGCAGAGAAAATTGTAATTGCTCTTGAGTGAATGACAATAGCAAGAAATGTGCTAATTAGTTTTTTTTTTATTTTTTTAGTAATTATAAGAGTATGTATGTGGTATAATGTATATTATAAAATTGTTATTATTGTGGATGTTTGAGTTACTAAAACATGAACTTGTTTTTGGGGCAAGTTACATTATTTGTGGTGAACTACAGATCTATTGGAGCAGTTATGATTTTAATGTATTTTATATGGTTTAAACTTAAAATAATTGTTATTGTATTTATGCAACAATTATGATAGATTAATATTTATGTTTTATTGTGTTTTAATGTAATTGTTGTTGTACTTATTTTAGGTTTTATTGTTATTGTATTAGTTTATTGTGTTATTAAATTGACTCATGTTATTTAATTGAATTGTTAAAATAATCCAAAAATTAATAACTACAAAAGTGTTTACTCAATTTCCTACCCGACTTCTTACCCGATTAATTTGGACGGAAGTTGGGTAGGAATATCACACTTGATTGGGTAAGATAGGGAAAAAAAAAATTTTTACAGCAAAGTATCGAGTAGGAAGACGAAATACCATATTTTCTACCCATAAGGTAAACTGAATACCCCTAATTGTCTTATGCATATTATTGTAGGTTGGAACTAAAGTAAAGTTCCAAAATTTCAAAGCATATATTGACAGAAGATATTATTGTTAGTATGGATCCATAGGCCGAAGTAGATGAAATACAATTGAGATCAAATTTTTGGAAAGTGTTTTTGTTAAAAAGGCAATTGAGACTAATGTCTATTTGACAATACCTCGTCAATGAGTCAAAATAGTTGATAATTCTGTTTAACGAAATGTTGTGTTGGCATCTATTGATCTATATTCAACTTCTTTTAATTCTTTAATATATATATACTAGCTAATGTCCATGCCTGAAGGCACTGTGTGACACAACAAAATCGCCCGAATAAAAAATCAAACCCACAAAATTAGCAAATGGGAAAAAAAATATTAGTAACCACAAAAAAAATCATAGAACCCACAAATACTAATTGAGCTGAACTTAAATAACCATAATTAACTATCACGTCAATATTTTCAACCTTATTAAATCTGCACATAATAACTCAATACTCATTATCATCACGTATACACATTTGATCTTATAATATTACATAGAAGAGAATTATTTATAGCAATGCAACATCATTTCCTCCATGGAACAACAAAAAATTATAGCCTTCATTAAGCATCAATTTTACTCTTGGATTGATGTTTAATGAACTACACAAAGCTAGGTGCATACAAATTAGTGAAGCATACACAACCACAAATAAAAAAACTAATTAAAAAAAATAAGAAACAAAAATTGCAAGGTCAAACAATAGAATGACAAAAATATACATAAACCTCCTAATTTTCATTCACGAAAGCTTTTCCAATATAACATATTGGTCGAATGAGCAATTCGGCAAAACAGTATTTAATTCTATACAAATGTTTTTACCTTTACGCTTTATTACTCACACTATGCTGAAATGAACTCCATTTCATTTGATTTTTTGGCAAAAGTTTCCTGAAAAAAAAATTCAAATCAACTTAAAAGTAAACTGTCAATTTTTCCGGTGTTCTGGTTTTTATATAGGCATTTTGTTGACATTCAATAACAACCTAAAGAAGAAGCATGTCACAAAGGAAAAGCAGCACCCAGCTAACAAAACATAATTGGGAAACTTAGAAAAAAATTTATACCATCGACATTCAAGGATAATAATGAAATATAGGAACTATGATGGATATTGCAAAAGACACAAGTCCCACCTCAATATTAATCTTTACAACAAATCATTGTCGTAACTCCACTGTGACTGTAATGTCACATACAGGTTCAAATTCACATAAACAGTTTCTCTGTAAATCAGGATAAATTTATATATATCTGACACTCACTAGACCCTGTCTATCTGGTCTATTACGTTGCTTTTTTTTTTTCTTGCTAACTCTTGCCTACCGATGATGTTTTACCATTATAATTTATCAAATACTCAGTTATGGTGAAGTAACAAGATTTTGAGGAGATTATAATACCAAACTGAGTGATGCCAATGCCTATTCAAACATTTTGAACAGACCCATATCAACAGAACATAAGAAGTATCCTCTAGTAGGATAGTAGTGAAGATTGAAAATACAATTGATAAGGGGGAGAATGATCACAATATTTGCTTCTTTTTTCATTAATTTCCATTCATCATAACAAAAAAAAAATGTAAAACTGACACATAAAAACACAGAACATGCAGGATTATGTGATTTGACTCAAAAGCCTATGTTCACGGATGAAACATTTCGACCAAAAATCGTTATATACATGATCAAGAAGATTAGAAAGAGTTCTCACAAAGCAGAAGTAATAGAGCTTATGCCCACTTTTATACAAATTTAAAATGTATAAGCATCCATATTCATTATTTTTTGATTAAATTAGATTTTCAGTCTCTGATCACATTAGGTATCCAATTCCTGATTCAATCAGATTTGTAGCTCTCCTATTCATATTCTAGGGCTCACAAAATTGTCATATACAGTGCCATGGGGGCTTTATAACAGATTGATATTTGAATCTGAGTGGAATACATGACATTCAATAAAAACCTAAAAACACTTTGTCATATTAGTACTCATAATGGAGCCAAAATCAACACAAATTCATTGAAAGAAAATAGATTCGCAATGAAAGAAGATTGCTACACTTTAAACAAATAGGAATTGAAAACCCTAAAATCTTCAAACATTTATACTACCTGCCATAAAAAAAACTCATCTTAGTTTAGTCAAACACATGATTTAAAGTCACATTTTGTTTTTTGAAATATTGGATTAACCAAAAACTTTAATCTAACAAACTGTGTACTTAGAAATGTAGTAAATCAAGATGGATATTTTAGAGAAAGTGAAGGTATATATCAATAACAATGAATAATTCTTGCCCAAAATTGTTGAACCCCACATAACGAAATATAAAGAATCATACCAGAACTCCATATATCAACCTTTGACTCATAGTTCCACTTCAAAAGCTTTACT